TGTAAAGAAGCAATAGTATGGGCTTTCAACTTCCCAGTTTAAGCAGAAGCAGAGTAGAGGTACGTCTGCTATTTCATCACTTGGGATAGATATAAGTCGAGGGGAAAAACAGAAAGGAGCAAGGAAACCAATGGAATTGGATAAACATGCTGACTCTTGAAATTCTTGCCAAAAGAATGTTGGATTTTGCGCTGCTGCAAATTTTGACGCTGGGACACGTCACTTTTGTTTCTCAGGTCCTATGGTTATCACCCCAGCAACTCTGCACCCAATCATTCCTAGTGTGCACGACTGTCTGCAACAGCATAGACAAATAAGATAGTAAGAGCTCTTAGTTAAATGGTTTTGCCTGGCAAAGAAAAAAAAAGTTGTAGTTGCAGTTAATAATCACCATGCTGGCTTTACATTTTCTCTTTTCTTTCACTTTCTCTTTTTCAACTCTGTCATTGACGAGGCTATGGGGGAAGAGAAAGAAGAACTGTTTGATAATTGACTTCATCAAAGGTCTATTTCTAGCTTTTAGCTGCTCATTATTTTTCCGATGCTTTTCTCAGTTAACTAATCTTTTTCTCTATTCTGCACTTTAGTGCCGCTGGTAAATTGAATAGACATAACCCTCTCCTACACAAATATTAACCTTTATTCTTTTACAATAAGCAATGAAAAATATAAAATAAAGCCTAAACTTTTTGGAATTGAATTTGATTTTCTGGCCATTCACAATTTATTTATGAATGGTATAAGTTCACTTTCAGCAACTGTAATTCTGATGTGATCTACAACATTGTTTTCTACTTTGACAATTGTGAGCATCTATGAGAAAGTTTAAAGAGTTTAAGATGCAGCGCAGCTCCACCAATCCTTAAGCTTCAAGCATCACCCTGAAATACAAGTGGCATCTTATCTTTTTCCACCAAAGACATGGCAACCACCTTTTTCTTCTTCTTTTGTTGTTCTGCAATTTGGAAAACAAGAACTTTCTCAAATCTTTATGGTTTCTTTGTACCCAAAAAGAAAAAATCTTTATGGTTTCTCTTTAATGATTTCCCCTTGAATTATGGCAATTATCTTTGGAATTATGACCAAGACTTTTTGTCAACTATTACCAAACAGGATGATTATTAAATTGATGATTGCTTTTATGTTTTATTCTGATACAGGGGGTGAATGATGGAGCATTAGTAACTATACTTTAGTGGGGCTTCTGCAGTTGAGTTATTGGCTTTAATTCTCTCACTCTGTTTTGGGTGGTTCTAATATTGACATCCACTGTGAAGTCCTTTAGTGCTTGGTTCACCCCCCAAAATTAATAGCATTAAATGAAATTAATTATTTTTGTTTTAAATATATGTTCAGACAAAAGGTCGACATAGATTTTTTCTTTTCTTTTAAAAGAAATAAGAAAGAAAGAAAGTAAAAATGGTATTTTGATGGCTATCCAGGAATATGGAGGCCTCCCACTACTTTGCAGATGAAACATAATTTGGCTGGCAAATGACAGGGAAAGCATACAAATCACAATCCCTTAAGATAAGAGTTTATGGCCAATATTGCTAATTTAAGTAGCTATAATTAAATAGATATAGAGTGCTAGAGTGGCACCTAAGATGCCTAAAACAAATCAATCACTACCTTAACTTAAAAAATTTTGAACCTCAAACAGAAATCCCATACAAAAATGAGAAAAAATCTGAAGTCCCCACCATCAGAGTAGGCTTGGCCAACATGGCCAACACAGCCCAAGCAGTGGGGCCCCCACCTCCCCCTCCCGTTGTGTCCTGGATTAGATAGCCTTTTTTTTTTTTCTCTTTTTTTTTTTCCAGGCCTGGAGATCATGCCTAATGAGACAAATTTTCAATGTGGAATGTTATGTTTTTTCCTTCTCAACCAGAAGGAAAACGTCAATAAACTATTTCAGACAACTTTTATTTAAATACAGTGAATAAAACACATTTTTAATGTATGTTCAATGTTCAAGCAAAGTTCTTGCCGAGGTCTCAAAAACTCCTTTGTTTATACAAGAAAAAGGAAAGAAATTTGCCTTTTTTCCTGCATACATGAAATGATTGCGTTTGCATAGAATTCCAGCCGAGTAGATTTTACATGGGATTAACTGTCAAGTCGACAAAAAACTACCAACACGTACATATCAAAAAATCATGTTCCTTATTTTCCTGCCACGTTTCTCGAACTCTTGTTTCACATGCTCCGCCTTTGCTCGAGTCCCAAACGCTGAATTTGTCTCCTGAATCCAGATATCGGACAACATACAGTAAAAACAATGAAAGCGGCCCCCAATGAGAAGTTGGACTTGTGGCTT